GAACCCCAACCTGACGATGAAGATGCCTATGTTAGCCACCCTGAACCCTAAACCCTGAACCCCTAAACCATAAACTCTAAACCTTGAACCCTAAACCCAAAACCCCTAAACTCTGAACCCCAAACCCAAAACCCCTGAGCCCAAAACCCTAGACCCCTAAATCCTGAACCCAAAACCCCTAAACCCTAAACCCAAAACCCCTAAACCCTAAACCCTGAACCATTTAACCTCAAACCCAAAACCCTGAGCCCTAAATCAAATCCCCTAAACCCTGAACCCTGAACCCTAAACCCCTAAACCCCTAAACCCTAAACCCTGAACCCTAAACCCCTAAACTCTACACCCTGAACCAATCTTCTCAGGGCAGCGCCGCCCAAATGAGCAGCTGCTCATGGACGTCGCTCCAGAGCACCGGCCTTGCCAAATTTAGGGTTTCGGGGTTTAGGGGTTTAGGGGTTTAGGGTTTAGGGTTTAGGGGTTTAGGGTTTAGGGTTTAGGGGATTAGGGTTTAGGGGTTTAGGGGATTAGGGTTTAGGGGTTTAGGGTTTAGGGGTCTAGGGTTTAGGGGTTTAGGGTTTAGGGGTTTAGGGGTTTAGGGTTTAGGGGTTTAGGGGTTTAGGGGTTTAGTGGTTTAGGGTTTAGGGGTTAGGGGTTTAGGGTTTAGGGGTTTAGGGTTTAGGGGTTTAGGGGTTTAGGGGTTTAGGGTTCACCTGGCCTCGAAAGAAACCCACCTTTCTCCGGACCAAAATAAGGAAAACATAGCAAGGCACGAACCTGAATTAGAGTTCAGGTGAGGTTTAAGGGATAAGGATGTAGAGTAGACGTGTAGGGCGTACCAGTTTCGGTTGGGGCGCGGGTTTCAGGGTTTAGGGCATGCAGCTTACCTGATTTTTCCTGGGGGGCAGACGGCACGGGGCATGTGGCTGAGCTAACAGCTATAGGGTTTAGGCCGGAGAACTTTCGCTATAGGTACAGGCGTTTAGGACTGCAGTCGAAATGATGCTTTGGAGAGCATATGATCTGCTCGTTGCTTGCACGCTCCGGGGTGAGAGCTAAGATGAGCTAAGTTTTTCTGCCTTGTCGTGGGGCAGGGGGGAGGGATAAATTAGGGCTTACGCTCAGGGTTCAGCTATCCTTTTGAATGCTCGTGTGAGTATACAATGAGATGTATATGTATTTATATGTATCTGTACATGATACATGGTCTAATGTCTCATATCTATGTCTATGTACATGAAGATGTACATTCAGGTTTGTGTAATGTATGTGCGTCTGTGAGTGTGGTGTGTTTGGTGTGTCGTGAGTGGTATGTCTCTCTGTCTGTGTGTGTGTGTGTGTGTGCGCGTGTGTTTCTGTGTGTGGTGGTCTGTGTCTGTGTCTGCGTATGTGCGAGGGGGCATTTATTGCCAAAGGAAGTTGCCATTCGGAGACAAACTACATAAAGACTACAAAACAACCGTAATGGCAGAAACAATGGAGCTCAGGGATTATTACAGGCTCCCTGGAAATCCCTGAAGTCAATGATAGGGATGCCCTGTTCCTCAGTCACTGTGTAGTTTTAGAAGGCATACCCCAACATAGAAAAGCCTGCTACTGGGACACCGCCGCAATAATGTATGAGCTCTGCATACCCTTAAACGTACTTACAAGATGTTTCGAAACGCAGACTTAAATGGTACCCCGACAAAGCTTGGAGCACTTTTCCCAGTCTGGCCGATGGAACCGAGAGGAGATAAGATCATTGCCGGAGCTTCTGCGCAGCTCTTCACTGCTGTAGTTCTCTTAGGAGTGGCTACTTAAGATTTCCATTCAATTCCGAACCCTAAACCCTAAAGCCTAAACATATTTGGGTTGCCTGGGAAAGTCTGGTGGGCGATGTGTTGCAATGTTGGAGTAGGGTCCCTTCAGATTCTTGATTCGGTTTGTGGTAAGGCCCTCCAAAAAGTAGGTTGACACTAAGAAACCCTCGGCTCACTTCCAGCCACCCTTCCACGGCATGCTCCCAGCATCGTAGCCCGTGCCGTTGATTCCAGCTTTACCCTTGCCTTGGTCAAGTCAGGGCAGTCTCAAATGAGGAATGTCTTTCATGTGCACATTCCAAACAAACCCAACATGCCCTGATCCGACAAGGGTATCCCTAAACCCTAAACCCTAAACCCTATCTGCAGGGTGTTGTGTTTCAATGAAAAATCACATTCACAGGCCCTAATCCTTACCCTGTGAACACTAGAGCTCCATGTACCCATATAGTATATACTTAGGCCTTAAAGTACCTATCTAGGGATCCCTTTAAGGCTTAAGTATCTACTATAAAGGTACATGGAGCCTTAGGGGAATGAATCCTATAAACCCAATCGCCAACTTTCCGAGCCCAGCGAACCCTTAGCCCTACGAGCAAAGACCCACCCCTAAACCGCCTAAACCCTCAAACCTTAAGCCCTACCTTAAGCCGCAATAACTTACCTTTTTAAGGACTTATATAAGGAAATCATAGTAAGGAACCCTAAAAAGGTAGGTTATTCCGGCTTAAGGTAAAACCCCTACACCCTTGAACCCTCAACTCTGTACCCTAAACCCTTAACCCGAACCTTTTTCTCCCCTGCACCGGTGACCCCGTAAACCTTACCCTAAACCCTAAACCCCTAAACCCTAAACCCTAAACCCCTGAACCCCACACCCGTAAACCGGAAGATCCTAGGGATTTCCCTCAGTTGAGGCCCAGCCGCCACCTTTCGCATCCCCCGAGCCGGCCTCACAAGGCAGCTTTTGATTTCTCTAAGGGTTCTATAAGGGTTCAGTTCTATAAGGGTTTTGCTTTTGAAGGCACCTAAGGGTTTGTAGGGTTGAGGGTTTAGGGTTATCTATAAGGATTCCAATTTGCGGGCTTTAGGGTGCGGGGCCACCGTTTCGGGCTTGGGGTTTAGGGTCCCTTTCCGACTGGAGGGGCTTAGCTTTTCGGGTCCAGGGTCGAGGACTTACCTTAACCTACCAAAACCTACTTTTTTGTAGGGTCCCTATAAATCCCATATTAGGGTTTATAATAAGAACCTGCAAAAAAGTAGGGTTTGGTAGCTTAAGGTAGGGTAGCATTCAAGCCGGTTGGGCTTCAGGGTTCAGGATTTCGGGTTTACGGTTCTTCGGTTTTGCGGTTGTAAACCCTAAGGGTCCAAGCACTCCCTGTTCTAGGAAATTTGGGCCTTTTAAGGTACCAAAACCCACAAACAGTGACTACTTGCGAGTTTCCGAAAATTAGGGGTACCTTTTTTTGGGAGTCCTTATAAAAAGGATCCTACTATTTAGGGTGCCATATTCAGGTCCCCTACTTTCCGAAACTCCGCTTAGGGACCCTTAGGGAATGGCTTCCCTGGGGCATTGGGGTTTTCGCGTATTCCTTAATTGAGGGGTTTTGGGGTCCCATGGAGTAGAGCTGGGGTTCTAGGCTTTAGGGTCCTCGGGTTTAGGGTTCTCGGGTTTAGGGATTTAAGGGTTTAGGGCTTTAGGGGTTTAGGGTTTAGGGCTTTAGGGGTTTAGGGTTTAGGGGTTTAGGGTTTAGGGTTATAGGGTTTAGGGTTTAGGGTTTCAGGGTTTAGGGTTTAGGGTTATAGGGGTTTAGGGATATAGGGTTTAGGGGTTTAGGGTTTAGGGTTCCTCCTCTACACCCTGGGGTTCACTCAAACCCTAGACCCCAAGATAAAATCCCTAAACCCAAGAATAGCCCTAATCCCTAAACCCAAAACTCACCCTAAAGCCTCCACCCAAGAAAAATCCGAATCCTTAAACCCAAACATAACCCCAAAGCCTCAACCCAAGAATAGCCCTAAACCCTATAAACCCTAAACCCTATACCCTAAACCCTAAATCCTATACCCAAAACCCTATCAACCCGAAATCCTATACCCTAAACCCTATAAACCCCAACCCCTATAAACCCTAAACCCTAAACCCAAGAAAACCCGAAAATTCTATGAGCCCCGAGAGTATGCCTCAAGCCTTCACCCCAGAAGCCCTGAACTGAAGATCTCCCCCACCGCTTCCATAGTTGCTGAGTTCATAAGCCCCTATAGTAGAAGCCCAAAAGTTGGAAACCCAATAGCCTCAATCCTAAAGAGTAATGCAAAAGGGAACCCCAGCACTATTTGGCCTTGATCCGGTTTCCAACTTTATGGGGTTTACTTTAAAAGTGTACACATTTTTAGTTTCATAGTGGGTAATACTATCCCAAAGAGTTCATAAGCCCCCAGAAGTGTACACTTTTAGTTTCATAGTGGGAGGGTTTAGGGGTTTAGGGTTCGGGTTCATACGCCCCCCAAAAGTGTACACTTCCAGTTTCATAGTGGCTAGTGGGTAATATTATCCCCCAAAAAATGTAAACTGTATCCACGCCGAGCTTCTGCCTCCCAAGAGCTGTAGGGCCCGGCATTGTACCTAGGCTTTTCAGTGCCTCTCAGCCTTGGGTTACTATGATGGGAGGCCAAAAAGAGGGTTTAAGATTCTTGGGGTAGGGATTCGTTAATGTGAACCCTATTCTCGGAACCCTAATCCATACTAAACCTCCATAGGCTAAAACCCCTTTTGGCCTCCTATGATACTACCATCGCATGTTTCAGGTTTTTAATGCATGTGAGAAGAGGTGCACCGGGTTTCTTACGGCTTTTATTCCGATTGGCATGGCTTTCGTATGTTACATCAGGGCCTTTGCAAAATTATGTCTGTCCTAGTTGTTGTGTGCTTGTTTTGAGGGTTTTCCGTGTGCCAATTGTGACGGTTTGGGGGCGTAGAGCTAATGGTTTAGGGTTGCGGGGCGCTAGGGCTTCGCAGGGTCTACACCTACAGATTGTAGTTCGATGCGGGGGGGTGTTGTGCCTGGAGATGGAGTCAGACTGCTTCATCTGTCCCCTGAACATCACCACGCACCAAGCCCTAAACCCCAAACCCCCGCACCCCCAAACCCTAAAACCAAAGCTTAGTCTGTCCGACTTCACTTGCTGATGCCGGGGCACTTGGCCGGGATGCCTGCTTTGCCCCAGCCTCCTTTGTCTGCGCCCGTGTCCGAACCACCTCTGGCTAGGGGTTATGGGTTTAGGGTGTAAATTCAAGTTCCGGGTTCGACCTTCATACTAGACCTACCTAGACCCACGAAACCCTACTTTTTTGTAGGTTCTTATGACAAACCCTCATATGGGATCTATAGGGACCCACTAAACCCTACTTTTTTGCTGGCTCTTATTATAAACCCTAAATGGGATTTATAGGGACCCTACAAAAAAAGTAGGTGCTTGTAGGTTAAGGTAGGTTGGGTCTTGACAGGCTCTGAAAACGATTGCTACATGAGATCCACTATCTAGACTTCGGTGTCCAGGGTCGCCGAATACAAGGGGCTGAACAAAATATCATAGGGCTTTTGGGGCATATCATCATATTCTGACCATATAAGAACTACATGGGGCGTACTGGCATCAGGCTTTCCTAAACCCTAACCCTCTACACCCCCAAAGATCCTAAGCTCTAAAGCCCTGAACCCTGACTGAAGCCTAATCCCTAAACCTCAAGCTCTAAACTACCTGTAATGCTTGTTTGTGACCCACATCTTTTATCCCAGCGAAAACACCAAAAAAACCCAAAACCTGAAACCCAACACACCCGAAACCCTGCTTCGTCTTGGGTTTAAGTTTTAAGTACCACAAAACTTAAATGTTGCCCCTTTATAAAACCTTACACAATAAAACTTGCAACATAAACCCCTAAACCCTAGACCCTAAAAAATGGTGCCCCGCTATGACAAGGCTCCTTTATCCCAGCTGCTTCCCTTGCTCCAGCTGCCGCCTTTCTCCCAACTGCTTGGACTCTGCCAACTGTCTCCTGTGGTGTTTAGGGGGTTTCGGGTTAAGGGTTTAGGGTTTTAGGATTTAGGGTTTAGGGGTTTTAGGGGCTTTATGGTTTAGAGTATAAGGGTTTGGGGCTTTATAGGGGTTTTGGAGTTCAGTGCTTATGGTTCTGCTTTAAGTGCACTGAACCTCTACCTGACAGCAGGTCCAGTGCAGGTTTAAGGAATAGAATTTAGGAATTAGGGCCATAGGGTTGAGGGTGTTGGGCTTAGGTCTTTGACAACCGTCTCCTTTGCCGAAGCCCTTCTGAGGTCCAGCGCCCTTGTCCCAGCCGCCGCCTTTGCCCCAACCTGCGTCCCATCCGCCTTTGCCCCAACCTCCCATGTCCCAACCCCAGTCCCAGCTTCCCTTGCCCCAGCTGCCCCCCCATCCCCCCATCATCTCCATCATGCCCTTTCCCTTGCCACCTTTTCCATTCCTTGGCTGTCAATTCACGCGGGCGCTGAGACAGCATACTGCATCATAGAATGGCAGAGCATAGCATAACATAACGAAGCATCACATAACATATCACAATGTAACATAACACAGCACAACATAACATGACCTGTCAAAACACAACATAGCACAGCGCAGAATAACATAGCAAAACATTCCATAATAAACCATAACATGTCATAGCATAGCATGACATGATAGCACACACACACTAGCAATATGACATAAACATGCATGCATGCGTGCAGCATGCATGCATAAAGCATGCTTTGTGGAAGCAAGTATACCCATAAACCAATGACAGATACATGGGAGTTTCCGAAAACTAGGGGTACCTTATTTGGGCTCCTTATACTAAGGATCCTACTATTTAGGGTACTATATTAGGGTCCCCTATTTTCGGAAACTCCCACATGAGTGCGTACAATACAGACAGGCCGTGGCTCAGCATGTGGCCACCTGTAGCGCATGTCGAAGGCGTAATTGCAGCGTATGAAAATATGTATGAAGAAGACATTTCGCTAAGTAAGTCGCTAAGTATGTACAGTATGTAATGATAAGTATTATGTATATTGCTAATATGATGTGTTGAGGTAGTGTGTGTGTGTATGTTGCAGTGTGTGGTGGTGAGTAGTGAGGCGTGAGGTGTTTGAGTGTGAGTGGTGAGTGTGAGTGGAGTGTGGTGTGAGTGTGATGTCCAAAGGATTGTGAGTGTTTGTGTGATGTTGTTGGTGGTGTGGGGTGGGTAGGTGGGTGTGGGATGGGGGTGTGTGGTGTATAATATATATGTATATAATATAGATATAGATTTTTAATTGATGAGGGTGAATGTGAAGAAAGGAGAGAGAAAGAGAGAGAGTGTGTGTGTGTGTGGGGTGTGTGTGGGGTGTGGGTGTGGGTGTGGCGTTGTGGGTGTGGGTGTGGGTCGTGGCGTGTGGGGGGTGGGTGTGGGCTTGTGGAGGAATTGCTGGGTGTGGGTGTGAGGCCGTGGGTGTGTGTGGTGTGTGTGGTGTGTGTGGTGTGTGTGGTGTGTGTGGTGTGTGTGGTGTGTGTGGTGTGTGTGGGGTGTGTGGTGTGTGTGGTGTGTGTGGGGTGTGTGGGTGTGTGTGTGTGTGTGGGTGTGTGGGAGTGTGGGTTTGTGGGTGTGTGGGTGTGTGGGTGTGTGGGTGTGTGGGTGTGTGGGTGTGTGG